CCATTGCTTGTATAAAGCCTTTGTTTTGATTGAATTTTAATGTTATCAATAAATGCAAGCGCGGTCATGAACCAAAACGAACAATAAAAATCGACCGAACGAGATTTGCTTGAAAATGACCGAAAAATAAAAGAATTGGTCACTCTATAAACTCCTCCTACAAGATCCTTCAAGTCCTTCAGAGTGACTGTAAGCCAGTCTTGCCCAGCCGTCAGTGGAGCAAGGAGTGTGTACGTGTGTGTGTGCGAGTGATTCTCCAGCGGCTGTGAAATAGCGCTGGGATCATCGGCCTTTTTCAAGAAAGCGATTGGGAATTTAAATGCGATAGACCACGAAGTGTGCGTTGGAGAAGTGCTCTTGTGATTGTGTGTGTGACCTGCTGACACGCGTTGGTCCCGATGCAAGGTATACATTTTATTTTTGGTGTTTATTTTTTATCATATGTGGCGTAAGTATATCTTTGTTGCATGTGATTAGATGATGTGGTGAGAGAAAAGCTCATTTAAAATTGGTCGATTGTAAGGGAAATAGCCCCATCACAGGAGAGTTGCGAAGTGTCGCTGGATGGTTTCTCTGCGATTGTTTATACTTAAATACTTGTCTGTATTCTGTTATTTTTTACTGTAAAACTGCGTTATACTGGTGACAATAGTGACAAATACCACAGAGTGAAATAACAAGTTATGTGAGAACGACTACTTCGCGTTTTCTATCCTTTATGGAACAAAGATTCATAATTGTGAAAAGATGTGCCGAAAGTATAAATATTTTCAGAATTATGATAACTGTGTATGTGTTGAAACGGCAGGATAAAATAACAAAGGACTGATTTGGAAATAGATATGACACTGAAGTGGAAAATGCAAGGAAAGTTGTGTTTTTTTATGTAAACGATTGAATTTGACATGTGCCAGCTGTCATAAATTAACGTTCACGCGAGTGGTGCATATCGTATTGTAACGCTTCTAACATTTGGTGTGTGAACCATGTGTTTGTATCCAAGGGTTTCTTTCTGGTGCTATTTCTCTATAGGATTATTTTCATTATCTTTGTGAAGTAATTCTGTATCAAAAGCTGGATTGCCAGAGTCGTAGGCCTATAAGCATATAATTGAAAAGTTGAGAAAGAGTGATCTAACTCAGTAAGTAGAATAATGAAAACCACAAATTTACTTAAAAGGGAATGCAAAGTGGTCATTGTGAATTTTAATTCAGTTTTGTCTTTGGTTGAAGGGTAAAGACTAAACATCCATTTTCTATGCGCACGAACAGTTAGACAATTAACAAACCAAATTTACCTCGCCGATCCGTCGCGCATTAATTGTAAACTGCTTAGTTATCCAGCTAACAACCAGGACGCTGTACAACCCCGGCATTCACAGCAGCGAAGGATCGAGGGAGTGTTTCTGCTTACTCACTAGGCATTGTGCGGGGATGCGCATTGGCTTCTCTCCACCAGGGTCATTTTCGCTCCCTCCTCCGCCGTTCCTTTCTTTCCGCGCCCGCCTTTTTTTTTTTCTTTCCTTTCCTTTCGCTCACTCCACGATCGCTCTCGTCTGTGTTTCTCTTTGTTTGTCTGTCTCTCCTCTCTTTCTCTCTGTCTCTCTCCTCTCTCTCTCTCTCTCTGTCCTGTCTCTCTCTCTCTGTCTCCTCTCTCTCCTCTCTCTCTCTCTCTCTCTCTCTCTCTCTCTCTCTCTCTCTCTCTCTCTCTTCTCTCTCTATATATAATATATATATATATATATATATATATATATATATATATATATATATATATATATATCCCCCCTCTCTATCTCCCACTCGCTCTCCCTCCTACCCCTCCTCTCCCTTTCCCCTCCCTCCCAACATCCTTTCTTCCCTCTCCCACTCCTTCCCCTGCTTCTGCTTGCTTGCATACCTTGACGGTCTGATGGAGAGTAAGTCCTGTTTGCCCGACACCCCTGCTCTCTCTCTCTCTCGCCCAGGAAGAGCACAATAAAAGCTTTTACAGGGCGTGGGCAGCAGAGACCGGAGTCGTCGAGCTGTGTATGTGTGTAGTTCGTCTTTCTCTGTGCGTGTCTGCGAGCGTGGGTATGTGCATCATCCTTGGCGAGACGTGACGTGCCCCTATGCCCGGGTATTAGGGTAAGCCGGGGGTCGCCGTAGATGTGGAAGTTTAGTGAGGTCGGCGGGGTGGGATGGAGGTGAGGTGGGGTTGGGGGGGGGGGTGAAGGACAGGTTAAAGAGAGGGAGTCAGGTAGGAGAACGAGCGGACGGCAGGGGGGAAGGGAGGGAGGAGGAGGCGGAAAGAGAAGGCGGGGGATAGAACAGACGCGCATGTCGAGCTGCGAGAGAGAATATATATATAGAAAGAAAGGATTGGGAAATGATCAGTATCGGTTTGTGTTGTCTTGCCATGAGAGAGGGAGAGAGACAGACAGAAATTGAGGGAAACAAAGACTCGAGGATTGCGGAAAGCAGGATACGAGGGCAACAGGTAGGACGAGACGGGAGGGCAAATTGCCAACAGAAGGGAAGAAGTTGACTCTGACGGAGGTCACTGAGCTCTTTTCGCCGGACATGTTCTGCAAATTGACATAAGCCCTGGGATCCTCAGCTGCCGTTCCGTTCCCCGGCGTCAACTGCACCCGCCTTGCCTGCGTGCTCACTCTCTCTCTCTGTGTGTGTGTGTGTGTGTGTGTGTGTGTGTGTGTGTGTGTGTGTGTGTGTGTGTGTCTGTGTGTCTGTCTGTCTCTCTCTCTCTCTCTCTCTCTCTCTCTCTCTCTCTCTCTCTCTCTCTCTCTCTCTCTCTCTCTCTCTCTCTCTCTCCCCTCTCTCTCTCTCTTCTCTCCTCTCTCTCCCTCTCCTCCCTCTCCCTCTCCCCTCTCCCTCTCTCCCTCTCTCCTCCCCTCTCCCTCTCTCCCCTCTCCTCTCTCTCTCTCTCTCTCTCTCTCTCTCTCTCCCTCTCCCTCTCCCTCTCCCCTCTCCCTCTCCCTCTCCCCCTCTTCTCCCTCTTCATGTATTTCTTTAACAGTACGCGCTTATATACACATACAATGGCGCATGCATACGCACACACATACACATACGCTATGCATACGTACACCCATTCACATACACAAACAATCACACACACGCATACGCATACAGATACGATAATGTACGAGCACTCACACAGTTACATGGATATCATTGTGTGTATGTTTATGTATGTACAATATGTGTACGTGTCTGTCAGTCTGTGTTTGTGGCTCTGTTAATGAGAAGCCGTATGTAGCCTCTCTGGTTAGTATGGCGGGTGTTATGTAGGTTAGTAGAATGTGCTACGAGCAGAGAGGAAGTGATGCAGGTTGTTTGAAGTGTGCGAGGGTGATGCTCCATAAACCAATAAAACAATAAAACATTTTCGCAAGGGCAGATGGCAGATGTTAGAATGAAAGATGTTATTGTTATTGTTTGTTTGCCCATTGTATGTATGCGTGTATATGTGTTTGTGTGCGTATAATGTATATGTGTATGTATATGGATTTATATCAATATATCTATCATATATGTATATATATGTATATATATACACATATACATACATACACACACACACACACACACACACACACACACGTATACACACACACACACACACACACACACACACATACACACACACACACACACACACACACACACACATATATATATATTATATATATGTATATATGTATGTATGTATACATGTGTGTGTGTGTGTGTATATATATACACATACATAATACATAATACATACATACACATACATACATACATACATACACACACACACACACACACACACGCACACACACGTAGATATATACATACATTCACACATTTATATACATATATGCATGCATGTATAGCCCCACCATGTTTTATCCCACGGTCCAAGTATTTGTGCTAACAAGACATGACAAACACAATTTTGCTGACATCACCCTTTGTCACTTGTGAAGTGATCATTCACTCACATTCAAATAGACTGTGAACTTACTAGGTGTAAATCTTCGTCACTTTCACAGTTTCGCCTTTTGAACATTTTCTCATTCAGACTTAACTGCCGTGCATCGAAATGAGTAATTCGCTGGTTAGCCTTAAGTACAATACTTCATTTCAAAACGCTTGTAATATCACGTTCAAGAGGGCTTAGGAATGCCGATTTAGAAGTGTTGTTATAACCAGTTTGAGTCTTTTAACATTTTGAAATAGATCTGAGAATGGCCAGCATGTGTAGGCTAAACCATTTTCCACGAAGTTTGACAAGCTTGGTTTCGGGTTAGTTACAATGTTCAGGTTGCAATTTCATGTTTTAAAAATAAGTGATATTGTGACTGGTTATTATTTATTCGTTTATGAGTAGGTACATAGGTAATTGAAGTCATTGGCTATATTTTGTCATGGAAGATGCAAAGTGAATCGCTGATGCTGGTTTTGTTGGGAAAAAACCATGACGTAAGACATATTATCTTTTATTTTTCGTATAATGTGAATTTTAGGAATGTGTCGCAAACATTTCTTAGTAGTGTGTCTGGAAAGATGCACTGTCATTATTTTAGAAATACACGCGCGGTGACATAACAGGATGAACTGTCGCCAAAGGGTTGTTGAAAGTTGTTCTGAAACAGATCAAAGACGAGTTCTTACTGGTTTGTATGGGTGTTCGCTGGCCGGTACCAGTTTTTTTTTCTTACGTGAGATATAAAAAACGTCAGTATGTGTGTGTGTGTGTGTGTGTGTGTGTGTGTGTGTGTGTGCGCGTGCGCGTGAATGCAGAGGCCACTTTTGCATTATATATTATTTCTGTATTAGGTCTTCACGGTTTGCAAAAACGTTAACCTTACTGAAACAATGCATACTGAACGTTTTTTATTACGTAAAGTAATAGTGATTTTTATTGTTTCTTAGTCCTGTACAGCGTTTTTTTTTTTTTTTTTTTTTATCAAGATGAAGTTTTATGCTGTATTTAAAATTCATGTTATTTTGAGTTGGTTATTATTATTTACACATAGAACACTTCATATTGCTAAGCAACCAGATTTTGTACCTACCCGATTAAATGAACTGTCTTCAGAATGATAACTGTGAAGTCGTTAAACAGGAAAGCGTGTGTCCTTAAATCTGGTCAAGATTTTTTCCCTCCGAAGTCAAATATCAAGTGTCACTCTGCTTATGCACCCGACCTGTTTCTCTGTAGGTTAGGGTAGGCTGATCGAGTTAGGTTAGGTTAGGTTGATCGGAGGTTAGGTTATAGGTTAGGTTGATCGGGTGGCCGTGTGTGCGCGCGTGTGGTTCTTCGGTCCTGCCCCTATCCTGCCCGGCGGGAACATGATCGGATGTGGCTATGGGAGGAAGGAGAGGTTAAGTGTAGGGTGATGGAGCCCACACATAGAG